TGAAAATGTGGTTCATATATACGATGGAGTTTTACTCAGCAGTAAAGAAAGATGAAATTGTGAAATTTGCAGGTAAATGGATGGAGCTAGAAACTGTTATACTAAGTGAAGTAACACAGAGGGGAAAAAAAAAAGTATGTTCTCCCTCATATGTGGATCCTAGCACCAAATCCTGATAAGTGAGTATGTATCCAGATATAACTACAGGAAGTAGGATAACGGAAAGGAACCAGGGAGGTAAAGGAAAAGAATCTGAAAGAGAAGAACAGTAGGGAACAGGCCTTAATAAGGGAGACATGGATAAAAATTGGGTTAAGTGGAAGAGATAGGGAAGGTTATACAAGGAACCTAGGGGATAAAGGGAAAGAAAGAGCTCAAGAGTAGGGTATTAAGAGAGATGGGGAAAAGGGGCACTCTAAATGGGGAAACCATGGTGGAAGGGTTAGACAATGTGAGAGATAAATAATGCCTAGCTAGTTTTAAAAAAATCAGAGGGAACCTATACTAATTTGGTCAGTGGGCCATAAAGGACAGTTTTTGCTCCTTGCCTTCCTAGGTTGACAAAGTTCCAGGGGACTATGAGCATCTCTCAAAATGTCCTGTAACTGGTGAGTCACCTGTCCTCTTGATCAAGGAGGCCATGGAGACCCCATCCGATGGACTTTTACCAGTGTCCAGTCTACAAAGAAGAAGGTCACAAAGGAAACATTTCCTACATGCTTCCAAGCGAAGCCAGCCATGGTCGAGCAGGACCTTTGATTTATTGTCACATAGATGGAACTGTTAAAGGAACGGAGCCAGGGACTCCTCCCAAGGCCATGTGATCCCTGAGGAAACGATCCTCAAACGACCTTAAGAATAAAAATAAATTGGTTTATCTGGGCCAACTGTATGGTCTTAAACTCCCAAAAGGAAAGTATAACCGAAGATTAAAGGGGTCAGTATAATTTTTTAAGAGTCCACGTGTATAGCTAAAGGCTACATAACAAGAAACAATGCCAGTAGATGCCTTCCTCTGAGTTATTGGCCAGGGTGGCCCAGAGACTCCCAGAAAGTAACCCAGCATAGAATTGGGAAAATGAATAGCAGACCTAATCTTATCTAAAGGAATATTGACAGCTGATTGCTGCTAGATGAGGAAGAGCTGATCTTCTTAAAAAAAGGAATTCTAAATAGAGATGGGCTGACTAGATTCAGCAGATGGACAAGCATTGGGGAATGGCTGGGGACGCCGACAACACAGTGGACAGTAACACAGATGACAGTATATGGGCTCCAGTGCGGGGCGGGGGGGGGCGCAGGGTAGGCTATGGGAGGGTGCCATTTGGGAAGCAGGTATATAGATGATTAAGATTGGGATGTTCTGTATCATATACACACACAAAAAAAATCAACAAATTTTTTAAAATGAGTTGTGTTTGAGGAAGAAGCATAAAAATTTGATTCATGTTAAATAATAGATATGAAAAACATTACCGTTGAAATATACCTGATGACTTTATATCCATGCTCAGGTGCCACGGATTCAAATGTTACCGTCTGTGACTAGTAACAATCAGATACATGTAGATTAGAGATGCATGTGCAAACATCTAAGTGTTAGTAGCATTAAAAATGAGTTTTTCGGTAAGAGACATTTTAAAATGAAATGGAGCTCTTTTTTAAAGGTTAAAACCTCATTCTATTTTATGTCATAGGGTTTATACTGAGTTCAATATTGTATAACTAGTAATTCAACTGTGAACCTAAAAATTTACTGCCACTCTTAAAAGAGATGTATCTTTGCTCTGGAAATTGTTATTGAATATGTAATGAAAATAATAATAAAATTTAAAAAGCTGGATGTTGTGGCACATGCCTTTAATCCCAGCACTTGGGAGGCAGAGGCAGGCGGATCTCTGAGTTCAAGGCCAGCCTGGTCTACATAGTGAGTTCCAGGACAGCTGGGGCTGCAGGGAGACCCTGTCTCAAAAAGAGCAAAGAAAAAAGAAGAAAATATGTTTTGGCATATTGACGCTGACAGAGGTTGTTCACAGAATTATTTCTTCCCATTGGGACGGGCTATAATTTGCTCTATAGATGTGTTCCTATTGCTTTTAGTGTTCAACAACATATCAAAGAAATGGTCTTATCAAAGTAGAAACTACTTAAAGATAATAGACAAATGGGCCAGGTGTGGTGGCACATGCCTTTTTAATCCCAGCACTCAGGAGGTAGAGGCAGGTGGATTCCTGTGAGTTTGAGGCCAGCCTGGTCTATATATTAAGTTCTAGACTAGTGAGGAGTGCATAGTGAGACCCTGGCTTAGTAAAACAAAACAAAGGGCTGAGAGATGACTCAGTGTTGAAGAGCAGTGGCTGCACTTGCAGAAGAACCCGGTTCCAATCCCAGCACTCACATGGTGGCTAACAGCCATCTGTATCTCCAGTTCCAGGGGTCTGACACCCTCTTCTGATCTCCATGAACATTGCACAACACAGATGCATTTACATATATGTAGGCAATACATTCATGTAAAATAAAAATAATATATTAAAAAACAAAACAAACTGATAATAGACGAGAGAAGCCCATCTGGCACATTCATAGCCCCACGCTTCAGAGGGACCTTTAATTGCAGCTGGCAATAAACAGGCCTATGACCTGAAAAAATGATACTGATCTGTTTCATAAGATATAGTGGAGAAGTAGAGTCCTTACTAGGTATTGAGTTTTTGGAGTCATTAGTGGCGGCCATGTACATACTGTTCACAGGCAGGCCTCTTGAACACAAGGGATAGAATGACTCTGTCCCCCTAAAACCATGGACCAGTCATTGAGTCCAGGAGAGTGGACATCTCTGACCAGCCCAGTCAGATGTCTGTCCTTGGGTTGGGAGCCATATGTTTGCTCTTATCAGAAGTTTGTAGAATGAACGGACATTCCCTTATTTCTTTGTAGTAAATCTGCAGGTGTAGTATAAACATTCAAAACAGAGTTGGGGAAAGGAGGCATAGAAGAAAGGGATGCTTAGGGGTGAGTGTGTGCACACGCTCACAGGAAGGACAGAAGGAATTGTGCTCCGTGCAACTTAACGGTTAGTGCTGTATTTTCCATGTTTTTGTAGTGAATGCTCCCTTTTGTCTATGGACTGTTGTTTCAAGTAGACATAGCTTTATGTGTACTTTGTTTAGTGACTGATTTAGTAATTAGCTTAATGTTGATGTTATTAAGATGGAAAAACACAAGTACTGCTAAGAAAATTCTGACTTAGAAACCTATTCTGTATCAGGTTTTGATTAAGTGTGGAAACCACTTAGAGACATTTTAAAATATTAACTAAATGAGCAAACACATGTCACTGAATTGAAAGTTGTGTTTTTGCGTTTTACAGATATGGCTGTATCAGAACCTAATTAAATACAGCTCCGTGTTTGTCAAGCAGTTGGATGGATCAGAGAGACTGACATGCTTATTTCAAATAAAGAGGTTGATGAGCATCTGTTGCAGGTAAATTTTGCCACAGTTGGATGTGCTGGTTACCTTGAGAGCCTGCATGCCTAAGGCATTGGCTTTGTTTTGTTAGTTTTCTAATTTTTTTGAAATAGGTCCTTGCTGAATAGCTCAGGCTGCCCTTAAACTCAATACAGTCTTTCTGTTTTCTTACCTCCTATACTGAAGTAAAATGTAAATCTTCCTTGAGGAAGTAAATGTTAGTAAGCTGGGGAGAAGAAGGAGGAGGGCAAGAGGTTATGAAGTTAGTAGACGGTAGCCTAGCGGGTAGGGCTTGTTGAGATCAGTTAGAGGCAGGGATGGCACTCTGCTGAGACAGGAAAGCCTGGTGGGCAGAGTCTTCTGGAGGGGAGAGCCATTACAGCTCTGTAGCATCTTGGTTTTGTGCCGAGAAGTAGAGAGCCAAAGGAGCCTTGAGCAAAGCCTGAATTTTCCTTACGGGGCTGGAGAGACGGTTCAGCGGTTAAGAGCACTGAGTGCTCTTGCAGAGGACCCGGCACCCACATGGTGGCTAGCAACCATCCATAATTCCAGTTCCAGGGGAATCCAGTGCTCTCCTCTGACATCTGTGAGCATTGCATGACATGGGTGCACTTACATGCAGACAATACATTCATGCACACTAAATAAAAATAAAAATCTATAAAAAGATTTTAAATACAAGAGAATAGAAAAATGGTCCACCTAGGGTGCTCATTGCCTGCTGTCTGTTAGTGACAGGTTTTGTTTTGTTTTGTTTTGTTGTTGTTGTTTCTGAGACAGTCTCACTGCGTATAGCCCTGGCTGTCCTGGAACTCAATATGTACACAAGGCTGGGTCCAACTCAGAGATTCGCCAGTCTCTTTGCTCCCAAGTGCTGGAACTAAAGGCATGCTCCACCATGCTCTGCGTTAGATTTTTTACTCAGGCATTGCAGTCTCTGTCTCATAGTGGCACTCTACCCCCAAAACTTCTGTATCCATCTCTGGCAAGAGGGACGATCGTATAAACCCCAGGCTCATTGATCAGCCTATGAAAATGATTGATATTGATGTTGCCTTAGAACAAGGAGGTGAGATTTCTGGGTTGACAAGCCCAGCGTAGCATATACTTCCTTCAAGTGTGAGCACTGGGTTGGATGCTCAGGCCATTCTCCTCAGGCTATTATCCTCACAGTGTTTTCTGTAGCTTTTCTCCTCATTTAACAGACTCTGATTATGCAGTACCATTGACATGTGCGTCCAGAGCTTCAGCCTCCACCACACTTCCAGTACCTGTGTCCACCACAGGCTAGAATGACTGTCGAGCAGTGAGAGTGGAGTCTGACCATTTAGGGGCAGCAGAATAGCCAGAACAGGCAGGAAGGAGGCCTGGGGTTCAGGTGAGGAAGAGCCCAAGGTATGTAGGCATTCTCAGTGGGAACCCCTCTGGAAGCATTGAGTGGATTGTGTGGAAGGTAACAAAAGACTGGTCCCTTGGAGGCTGCTGAGAGGAAGAGGAGACAACCAGCCTATAAAAAAAGGAGGTGGATCCCAGGAACATTAAAGCTCAGTCCAGAGGAGGGGCAGGTCAGCCTGAAGGCTAAAAGTAAAGCCAGGAGTCCAGGATGTGTGTGGGTCAGGTCTAAGCGCTTCGGTTCAGGGCTGATAGGACGCTGCCATAGACTCATTCTGCATCTCTTCCTGAATGAAGCCTTTGCTTTTCACAGCCAGTTCAGTGCCTGCAGGAGCCATGCCTCTGCTTCTAGCAGAAAAGCAGCCTGGTGTGAGTGGCAGGAGTCTGTTTGGAGCTGCTTCAGTCTTTGAGCAGCTCCCCTGGCCTGATGCAGCAGTGAGTATGAGGTGGCAGGAGCTGCCAGAGAGAGACAGGCGATGAGAGCGAGGGCAGTAGTTGGGGAGAGTTCCTGCTGGGTCTGCTTAGGAGAACCTTGAAGGTGCAGAAGGAAGAATTGCTGGGTCGTGGAGAAAGAGTGGTATGGAGCGCCAGGGTCATGATATGTGACCTTGGGAAGGGGAAGGGTAGTTTATCCATCCTGTCAAGTGGCAGGCAACCCAGTGAATAACCAGTGGGAACAAAGCATCTGACTTGGAACTGCACACACTTGAAAATGCCATCATTAGTAATCAAAAAAGTGAAGATCCGGGTCATGGTGACACACACCTGCAGATTCATTAGGGTGCCTGAATTCTGATGGTACCTACCAAGCACTAGGATGTGGAGTAGTTGGGGATTCCCTCTCACAGTATCTGGTGGGAGTGTGTGGCATCATAAGCAGTTTAGATCCACCGGGGACCCAGGAGTTCCATATGTTGGAATTTGCCAAAAGAAGTGAAGCCCAGTGTATGCTGTGGCTTGTCCTTGAACACACCAACCTCCTTCTGAGACACAGCAGCCATTTCCACATGGGAGACTACTGCACAGAGAATACAAGGACCAAGGTTTGGGGGCTTGGAGGTGTGTTATTTGATGAGCCTCAGAGGGACACCAGGTGACAGGACCAACATGCTGAGTGCCCTTTGTGGCCCTTATCCATAGCCACAGGAACAAGTGGCGGAACCTGGAAGGATTGATAGGGGAAACCCAAGAACAGCTTCTTTCTAGGCTTGCACATGTCTGTCAAGTGTCTGGGGTACAGAGCAGTGTATCTAAGTCAGTTTTAAGAAAGGGCATGGAACTGGACGTGGTGGTACCTGCCCTGTAACTCCAGCATTTGGGAGACAGAGGCAGGTAACTCTCTGAGATTGAGGCCAGCCTGGTCTACATAGGAAGTTCCAGGCCGGCTGGGGCTACTGGGAGACCCTGCCTCAAAAATAAATAGATAAATAGATTAAATAAGTAAATAAACAGAAAAGAAAGGGAAGGGCTAGAGAGGTGGCTCAGGAGTTAAAGAGTGCTTGGTGCTCTTGTAGAGGACATGAGCTTAGTTTCCAACCCCAACACCCACTTTAGGCTGCTCAGTGCTGCCTGTAACATCAGCTCCCGGGAACTTCACATTCTTTCCCTCCGCAAGCACCTGTACTTGCATGTGCATACCTACACGCAGATACCCACACTCACACACATACACACACATAATTAAAAATTTTTAAAAATCAGCTGGGCATGATGGTGCACGCCTTTAATACCAGCACTCGGGAGGCAGAGGCAGGAGGATCTCTGTGAGTTCAAGGCCAGCCTGGTCTACACAGTGAGTTTTAGGACAGCTGGGGCTACAGGGAGACCCTGTCTCAAAAAGTCGAAAAAAAATTTTTTTTTTTTTTTAAATCTGTCAGGCATGGTGGTGCACGCCTTTGATCCCAGCACTAGCACCTAGGAGACAGAAGCAAGCGAATTTCTGTAAATTCAAGGCCAGCCTGCTCTACATAGTAAGTTCAAGGCCAGCCGGTGCTACAGGAAGACCCCATGTCAAAAAAGAAACAAATGGGCTATGGACCCTGTCTCTAAAAGACCAAAAAGAAACCTAACTTTTTGGGGGGTGGGGGGTTGCTAGAGCAGAAGAAAAATCATGGAGTCTTTTTAAAAATCTTTTTTTTTTTTTTTGTTTTGGGCTTTAAAATTTCAGACATTTCCCACTCAAATCCAGACCTCCTCCCCCCTCCATGCCT